CCTAGCCATGCAAGTGGCTTTCTCAAGCATATGATTTTTCTTTCTTCCATCCTAATCTGTGGAGACTAATCCTGCCTTTGAAATGTTTTGTTTTGTTTTGTTTTCCCCTCCCTGGTAAATTTCTGTCCAGAAGATATTTACTAACCCTGAGCTGTATTGCCACAGTGGTTGGGCCACCTCGTTCCAGTCTCTGAAGAAATGAAGATGTTCCTTTCTTTTTCAACAACTGTGGGGGAGAAAAGCACACACATAATACCCTTATCTCAAGATGGACAGTAAACCTTCATTTTCATTGTTACACAATTTACTTACAAAGGCAAACATTTATACAAATAGTATTTCATAGACAATGATTTGAGTTTCAGAAATAATTGATAAAGTGGATAAATATCCTCAATTATCTGCAGAACCATGACTGGCAAGAAAGTTTTGATTTCTAAACCAGCTGTATACCATTGGAAAGACAAAATACCTTCTTCAAATAACTGGGCAAAGCAATATGATCTGGAACTCTATTTCAGAAGCAGGACTTGTTCACTGAGTATCCCATACAGTCTGCCTATAAGTAGCATAATTCTGTAACTCTCTGAAAAAATTCCTTATGTCTTCAGCAGATGCTTAAGTGAATAAATGTAAGCACACATCATAAAAAAAAATCTTGAAGGCAAAACAATAATATTAGTACTAAAAAAAACCCTCATCTTGTCTTCCTGCATACATGAATGCAGTTAACTTTTTTGTTTTATTTTTTAATCCATTTTCACACATTATAGACATAAATTATCAATAACTTCATAACTCGCTAGAACCAATGTTATCATACGCACCAAAGTTGGGAGTGGGGAACAAATTTTTTTTTTACTGTTCTACTACCTATCTTTGAGACTAAAATGATAATAATCATCCTAAAAGTGGTCCCAGAAATTAGGGGGGTTGTTAAATTTTCTACAGGAAGGTTGGCAAAATTATTGCATTCCGGGATTTGGCCAAGGTCTTAGATTCAAACCTGTGTATCAAAGACAGCCTTTTCACCTCTGACTTTTCCATTGCCTTTCTGCAGTCCACGTACCCCATAAAAATCCCTTTCTATAAAGTCAGCATGTTCTGGCCTACTCCTGTCTTTTTTCAGTTACATCAAAAAAGTGTGTATTTTCTCAGTTTGGCCCACTCAAGCCAAACTCAGTCAAAAATATTGCAGTGCAAGCAATTCTCTACTCACTATGCTAAACTCTGGAACTCTTTTTTATTTCAGATCTCACTCACTAGGATGCAATAAGGTTTTAAAGGCAAATTAATCTCCAATTTCAAAACAGAAAAGTAAAAGAGATTTGCTCTCTCCAGGTCTTCTCATAAAAAGAACCACTAGCATGCCAATGACACTTCTCAGTTAAAATTTACAAAATGATTGAGGCATATAACTAAAATAAAGTTTTCTCCACTTGACAGATAATGCACTCACCCCTTCCTCCCAACAGATTAAGTCACTAGTTCAAGGCCATTTCCTGAGTTAGTGTAAGAGCCAGGAACAATGCTTTGGATGCTAAAGTTCCTGCCTGCTGTCCTGTGTTGCATATTTCTTCCCATGGGAAAGAAGTGTTTGGTTCAGAACAATGGGGAGAAAAGAAAGAAAACAAGGCAAAAACCAAAAATGAATTTACTTCAAACTTTTCAAACTAGGACATCTTCAGCTATGGGCTAAGGAGCAAGCCTACATCACCAAAGTTTTACTTCCCTGTTACTCTCTAATATACAGCATTACTTTGGAAAATCTTGTACCTCTAATCTACGGGAAAAACAACACAAATATGTAACTTCATAATCTCTAAAGCTAAAACATCCTCCTAAAAAAATCTCTCTTTACCCACAGAATGTTTCACAGCTTTAACCAGAAGACATCCCAAAAGCCTTGCAATAGATGAGTTCTTCAACTAACAGACAATGAAGCAAAGTGGTCATAAAGAGAAACAACGTAAAGTCAATGGAAAGAAAAGCCTTCTGTTAGTGATGTGCATTCATGTGACCAGACTTCTGCTGCATGAACCCTGAAACACAGCAATTCTTCCAAAGGAATCAAGGGGAAGGCAACAGGGCCAACGTATGCACTAGGAAAAGATTACAGAAAAACGAGAGAGCAAGAGCTGATGGGAACAACAGAGATCTGTGAGAGTATCAATGGTATTTTATTTTATTTGAAACGGAGACACAGTCTTCATAAGTCTCAGACACCTGAACTGGCATCCTAAAATTCCTATGACTCCTTAGGTGCTCCAAAATTCTGGCCAGCTATTAGATCTGTTCATGTCTATCTTAGGATGGATGCACTGTTCTCTTGGACCCTACTTCAAGTAGAGTGATGAGTTCAAAGAGGTAGACCATTCTTATCTGTGACAGCACATTCAAAATAAAGGAGATAGTCATTTATGGAAAGGTAAACGGGTAGATATAAGGCCATACACTGATAAATTTATAATTATTTAACCCAGCAAGTAGCTAAGGCTGCAGATGACAAGCTGAAAGGGGAGAAGAACCACAACAGACTCCTATCTGACATCTGAAAATGCCTACTCTTCTCTGGAGTCTAGATGACTACCCATACACAGCTACAAGAACACCTTCCATTTTGCGTTTCTCTCTGCCTACAGTATCACATATGCTATAACTCAAATTTCAGACATAAAAGGAATCCCAGTCTCTGGTTGATAATTCTTGCCTTAATGTCCTTCTTTCTCCCTCTCCCCTTTTATTCTTTTCTTTAGTTTTTATTGCCTTTACCCTCAGGATGAACTCAAATAAAATGCAATGATTTTCCAACACATAGTCATTTTAATTTTAAGCTGATAAGAAAATGCCCCCTACATTACATTTCTAATTACATTAACAATAAAACAACAGAACCAACATTATTTCAGCCCATCACAGTGGATTTTCAAGGCCACACTGGAAAAAGGAAGACATTATTTGGGGCAGCATGGTTATAGATGTGGGTTTGATCCACAAAAGAATGTAAGCACTTACCTACTTCCAGCTCCTGCGTCAGCTGCCTATTCCAAAATAAAGTGTCTCTTTTTGGCCCCTGGAACAGCTTAGATACCTAAAGTTCTGCTTCCATCCTGCAGGGCAGCACAGTACCTTGCTCAAATTAGGCCAACTTAGTATCTACAAAGTTAGTGGTGTTCTGTCTCACCGGCACAGCTCTTCCCAAAGCCTACCTTTGAGAAGCCGAGCCACCCTTGTCTCTGGGCAGATGAAGGATGAAGTTCTTCCTACCTTTCACCTAAGACTAAAAGTTTAGAGCATTTTCACTGAATCTGGAATTTCTGACTTAATTTTTCATGCTTCCCAAAGTAATTTGAATATGTCTTCTCTCTCTCAACAGAGTAACTCCAGGTTAAAAGCTATTCCGGACTGGTCAAAAAACCTCATAGTTTCAGAGATCCCAGCTGTGTGGTGTTTCCCCTTGGTTTGATTAGGCTTCTAACTTAGACGTGCTTTTCATACTTCCTTCCATGTATGGGACTAGGATCTTTTTCACAGCTTTAGGAAGCTTCCTCTGGGAAGCTGTTACTACAGTGGAAAGGCACCTAAAGGTACCTTGTGGTGCCTCAGCTGTTTGCTAAATATAGCCTTCACTTCAACTTCAGTTTTTCCACTGAGATTACTGACAAGAACAGTAGACAGGAATTGTTACTATCAGCAGAGGAGCTACAAGGAAAGTTCCATTGCTATTCTATGGATGTACTTTCATAAAGCCTTCCACAATGACACATGAGAGCAGGCTCCTTAATCCCATGACAGAATCAATTTTATGCAGCTGTAAGCCAAAAATAGAGTCGTAAGATTCAAGAAGCCTGACGACACAGCTGATGTATTGTGAGAACTGCTTGTCTCTTTTCTAGAAGAAGAAGGAAATCCAAAGCATGTCAAGAACGGACTCAGCAAATCATGTTATTTCTCCTCAAAAGAGAGATGTTCCATGTGACATGAACAATTAATTTTCTGATAGCCTCCCAAGTTTCCCTCCCTCCTTTTAGTTTTGGTTTTTTGTTTTTTGTTTTTGTTTTTTTTTTAATTTTTTGGCTGACAGCTAGCAAAAAGAGACAAGTTCAAAAATGGATAGAGTTTGATTTGATTTCAAATGGACTGGGAAATTTTACATGCAAGTAAACATTTAAAATAACGTTTGCCAAAATGTACAGTGTTGATCTTCATACAAAACCACACAAACTCTCTTTTGCATACCAGAAGCCTCCTCAGGTTAACCCAATAAAGACTCTGAGGTTTTATTTTTGTACTTCCTATGTCTTAATATAATTAACTGTTCATCATAAAGTCACTGAAGGAGACGAAACAAATAAGTGTTCCTATACATCCAAAAATCAGTAATATTGCATCCACTGCTAAGCCTTGGAACCACAAAATCATGGAATGATTCACGCTTGAAGTGACCTCCCCATCTTGCCCAACCTTCTGCTCACAGAGTCCAAGAAACAGGTTTTTGAACCAGTATTATTAGTGTTAGTAAATTATAACCTGTTAGTTCTCACTATTGCTTTAGTGTTGATATTAAGTACTAAATTATTTTAATAGTTTAATGACTACAGAGAATGAAGCAGAGAACAAGGAGCTTTCAGAAATTACAAAGTAGCTGAGAAAAATCATCTAGGAGGAAAGAGCATAAAGAGTTCTAAATTGTTACCTTGCTGAGCTCAATATATTTTTTTGCTTCTCCACTTGCACAGGCTCCTGATGGTTTTTTAGTCAGCAAAGCTGCTTTACACCCTTTGATTTTAAGGGAATTATATGGAGGAACAAGTGATCCAGTTTGTGTCAGCTTGGACTGGAACAATTGATTGATGACTACATTTTCACTGGCTGGGAAAAGAAGAAGACATTAATGCATGAAGACAAAATACAAGTTAGAAAATTATATATATTGTATTTGGAAGTAAAAAGACGTACAGTAGGAGATAGAATTAAATAAGTAAACTTAAAATGATCGGATAAAACAATAAACTATTGCATTATGTTAGTTATCAAAGAACATTCAATATCTAAGGATGTTAGCCATAAGTAACACTATTTTAAAATATATTCAGCTCCTGCTTTGAACAAAACAGGGCAGAAAACAAAACCTTTCAGACTGTGTTCTGTCTAAACTTAATTACTTATGTGATAATCACCTCTGAATTTTGTTCCATTATAGACTCTCAATTTTTCCATTTATTAAAGCAATATGAGTGATGCATTCTGCACAACATTTACCTAATATGTAGTATTTAGAAATGATCAAGGCACTTGACAGAAAACTCACTGCACCAAAGAAAAAGAATTTTGTAAAACACAATATGGGAAAGAATGAAAAAAAAAAAAAAAAAGCAGGCAGGGTGAAGGACAGAACTGTAGCAAGCTTTCACATTTTTCTACATCAAGACTACAACTTACAAACATTTACAGAAAAAAGACAATGCCACACATATGTTTGATGCAGTGGTGATAATTAGTACAAAACAAATACACTTCCAAGAGGTGTTTTTAAAAATAAAAATCTGAATTTTAAGACAGATAGGTTACTTTATACTAATTTCAGTCAAATTATCCTGTATGAGATTATGGTCATGGGCTTTTTAAGATGAATGTGGCAATTACATGTTGCTTGTGCCGCCACAGCACCAATAAGCATTAAAAACCTGTTGTGTGATATATCCTTAACCATCCTTAATTTTTATTACTTTTTTTTAAAGAACTAACAAACAGGGATTATGTGAATAAAATAAAATAAAAAAAAAAGAAACAAAGATGAATGGGATAAGCATGTCATAATAATGTCATTAAGTTTAGCATAGCAGGTAGAAATCCTCAGTTTGGTGTTTATTAGCTGTCTAAAGCTGTTTTAGCAGATGCTTAAAAGCAATAGTTTTGTTTCCCTTTTTCTGTGGAGTTTACTATTCCTAACTTAACAGGAATAATAAAATTATGAGGAAGACAGTAAAGCAGATTCTTGAAATAATTTCAGCACAATCAGCGGACATAGTAAACTTCCATATTTTTAAAATATGGATAAATAAGCAGCATTAGGAAAGGCGGTAAAATTACATCCTTCAAACTAAAACAGAGAAAATCTGTCAATATTCTCTCCTGATTTATTTGCTAGCCAGGTATGTTCCACATTCTTACACATATATGTAAATTAATGTGGTTAGCATATTTAAAAGTTTTGGTTAAGGAAACTAAATTCAATGAAAATCAAAGGAAGCATGCACCGAAGGTATACCTCTACATAAGTTATGAAACCAACCCTAAAAGAAATATCCCACTGACAATCAATAGGTTTTAAGCCTAAATCACTTAAACACGAAGGAACGTAGCCCTTAAATGACTTACATTCTTGTAAATATTCTGCCTTAAGAATTTTTCCATTAATTATAATTGTTATTATTATGACTTCTTAATTATATATACACTCTCTTTTGGCATATCAAATCATTTTATATCTAATCCAATCCAATCCTCTGTTCTTCCCTTTTAACAGTTGCATAGCTGATTACACAAAACAGCAATGAAAGTGCAAAAGGAGACTACGCGACAGAACGGAAGAATGGTCTCTCTTGTAGAACATACTGGAAGTTGCCATACCTTCTTATACTTTTTGGCAGATTATCATGTAAATTCCAAGCAGTGAGAACTGGAATGTCTCTAAAACTATAATCAATAGGATTATATTCAAGATCAATTTTTCCATTTTTTCTTCATCCTTGATGTACACTGCCTTCAAAGTACATCAATTATTTTACTAGAGAGTTTAGCTAATTCCACAGTAAAATTGCTGAAAAAACACATTGTAACAGCAGGGCTGATTTGGAAGACAAATATGACCTCCAAAAGACCCCTATTTCTATGGAAAGAAATAGAAGTATATAATATATTAAGTGAAGACTCTGCAGTGGTTAGAGAAAAGACAAATAACATCTAAGGATACACTGACATTTCCCTGAGGAAAATGTTTTGTTTCTCTTCACAGAAAGGGTAAATGAATGAGATTTTTAATAATCTAATTATGAATCATTAATTCATAAACTGTTATGCATTATTATTAGGCATAATTATACAATATGCACACGTTAAAGTATTTAATTTTGCATTTCAATGGACATTTGTATCTATTCACTGAAAAAAATAAGAACGCCCACAAGTTCCTGCTTTTAGAAAGGTACTCAAGCAGTGAAGCACATCCCACTGCAGTCTCTATGATTTTGGGAGCCTTATTTCCTTTCCCTATTTTCTGGGGTTTATTTTTGCTTTAATTCATACTCAGTGATTTCTTCAAGTCATACTTATCTATCACACTATGCCTTCTTTTTCTTTACATCACATGACACGATGAAGATACTTTATGTTCATGAATTCTAAAAGATTTCTAAATTAGAGCAAATTTCAAACAATGTGTACATACTTCAAAAAGATGAGGGTGACTTTTTTACTTGAAATAAAATTATATAAATTTCTCTTAGAACTAAAATGAAAATTAAAGTCAAGTCATAATATCTTGATTTCTAACAACAGCAACCACAAAACCATTTACTTACTTTTCATTACAAATATGAGATTTTGTGAAAGGGAATCTTTATTTTTTTCTATCGCACCAGCAATTTCATAAGTAACCTATAATAAAATATTGTGACATCATTAGTAATGACCAACGCATCTTTCAAAAATCTTACAGCAGTAGAATAAAGCTATGGGTTTTTTCCACTCAATAGTTAAATGCTGGCACCAGGTAGTGTCTTTTGTTCCTTTCTTAGTGCCAACAATACTAACCAGAAGAACTGGTTGTTGAACATTGTGTGCCTCTGCAATTATACAGAAATTTCATCAGACAGATTCTAAAACATTTCCAAGTGCAAGACTTTGAATCAAAAGTATAGTGTAGAGCAAAAGTCTGTGACTTAAATATCACTTTCCCTGTAGTATCAGTGAGTCACTCCCAGATCACAGATCTCCTTGTCAATGGGAAACCGTCCACACCGACCATGACAAAACACTCATGGAGCAATCTGAGTCCTGGCTCACACTCAAGACAAGTTCCAGCCATTCATGTGTCCTTTGAAGGCAAGTTGAGTCTATAGGTTATATACAAATCCCATTTACCTTTCTAACAGCTATGCACATAAAGATTTCAGATCACCTTAGCTGCCCGATGTCATAACTTCAAGAACAGACAGTTGGATTGTCACTCCATCTGTCATCTAACTGCATATAAACTCTAACACATGTGATGGGCGCTCTGGGAAGTGAGCAAAACGCAAGGCTCTAGCCAGAGTTCCTGAGTGTACACCCAAAATGAGGAAATATCACCAAGTGGTTGTTTTAACATTAAGCCGATCCCAGGAGACACTGCATCGAAAAACAGCACTAAGACCAAAAAGCAGTCACTGAGCCCAGAGTGTTTTGGGGTTTTTTTTTTTACTTTTTATGGAGATGGAAGACAAACAACCAGTTAATTTACAGGCTTCCAATATAAACCGCTCTGCCTTACACAGTAGTAGAAACCAAAGGGAATTTTTAAGTTAAAAAAGAATGTAGTATCTCCAGGATTAGGCAGACATTTAATGGGAACTTCTTAGAATACAGTTTAGTTTTATTTACCTTGGTACCATGTTTTTATCTAAAGACTTTTTAAAATTTTTTATTGGGTATATATCCTAAGCACCTTAGCTATTTGGGGAAATTTTATCCTTTTATATTTAATAAAGTTGTAAATATATAATTAAGATTAGTAATACTAATCAGTGCATTAATTTTGTTTTCCATTGGGTCATTTGACAATTAAGTAATGTTATCTTACTCATGAAAGAGATTATATGACTTGGATGTGCATAATCTGTTATAGTTAGTAGTTGTCAAATGATGTAATTAGTATGGCTTCTGACATAGAAAAGGTATAACAATAGAATTACCTTCCTTTCCATGACAGATGCAATGTTATATAATTTTCTAATTGCATCTCCTAAGAACATACAACATAGTTAGCAAACTATTAGAATAATTTAAGTATACTATTAAATGCTTTTAGTGTACTTAAAGTAAATGTTCTACCATACTGGTCCATAAAAGATAATTAACAGAACTTATTAGACAAATCCATAATGCCAGTTCCTAATTGAGTATCTTAGGCTTTGAGTAAATTAGAAGAAGTATTGGTGGGAAGAGTAGGTAAGTATAGCAGTGGGAGATACTATATTATGATTAAGTGCCTAGATTGAAACAGGGAGAAGTTTCAGTACGAGTGCTGGTATAGTACATCACTGACTTCTAGAACTATATTCATAAGATGTCTCTGATATCACATAAAATACATAAAAGTTAGCAGGATTCCCTTTTATGAAGAAATTGCTAACTCTCTTAACAGTTTTCCCATAGATTTGGTAAATTAATCTGGTGCCTGAAGACATGAAAACTGACTCAATGAAATGGCACTCTAGGGTTCCATATTCATTGCCAGTCCCACAAAAGAGAAAAAGAAGTGCTCTTCTAGTTGCCAATTTCGTTAATTTAATCCTGCCCTCATCAAAGATGCCAACCTACATAGCTCTTTGCCTAAAGCACATATAGTTCCCTCAGTTTTCTTCCACTGGGTTTCTAAAGTAAACCTGGCCAAAACTCTGCACTGACTGGCACTCAAGCACAGTGGATAGTTATTCTGAGGAGACAAAAACACAAACAAATATTATATGATTCAGACAGGAAATGTGCACTCGCTTAGATCATGGTTCTGGTATTATAAAACACACTCCTTATTCTCACTTCAATTTTTTGCAGCTCTTTGCTCTATCTTGCTTTACATGTTGAGCTCTTTGGGGTAGACAGTATGTATACCTACATGTCTGTGTTAACCAAAGGAAATAAGGACTTTAGATACCTTATTATTACCTTATAGATACCTTATTACCTTCCTGAACTAGTTGAAATATTTTCATTAAGAAAGAAAAGCGTGCAGTTCCACAATGCATTTTATTTCATTAAAACAGATTAAAACAAGAAAAGGATTGGATTTTCTTTCCTTCTTGAATTAAATTCAGAGAGGAAGAGAGCTTAACCTTAGCACAGTGGTAGTGGGGCAGGCCAAATATTCATCTAGTCCTGGATATTTAGGGAAAAATATTGAGGAATACATCCACCCCACCTCCCACCAGCTCTCCCCTCAGCTTCCAGGGTTTTGCCCATTAGAAAGCTCTTGACCTGCAAGTTGTATCTCATCTTTGTGTTTAATATCTCTTGACTGACATTTTCTCCATGAGTCAGTTATTAATTATTAACATTTTCAGCATCTGTAACACTCTGTGGCAAGGAGTTTCACTAGTTACTAGCTATGTGAAAAAAATACTTGATTTCATTTGTTTTGAACCTGTTTTCTGGTCATTTAAGTGAGCATAGCTGGTTTTAAGAAGAACTAGAAGATACAAATAAGAGGTAAAAAAACAACACCAGGAAAACAGGAGGATCCCACACCAAATGTGCAGAGAGCTAACTTTGGGAACCGCACATTCTTCTTATCTTCTTACATACTCTTGCCTCTTTGATTCATTAATCATCCTTCTGCCACTCTATTGTACATCTTCTCCTGGAAACTTCTATTCTGAATGAAAGTATCTGCTCTCATAATGTCTGACTTTTGTAAGGGACTTTATCTAAGTTTACTGGATTTCGCAATATACTTTATCAGTAGGGCCACCGATATACATAATTTTCATCAATTCCTTCAAATACTTTTTTTTGTAAATAGTTTTCATATCTTGTGATAGGCCAAAAGCACTCATGGCAGATCCAGCAGGAACCCTAAAACAAGCTAGGAAAATGCCACCTAGAATGCTAAGGTTGATTTGGCTGCATTCACAGTTAAAAGGGAGAATTTTACTATTTTAATAACAAAATGTAACTCAGAAACTCACAGTTTTGCATGTGTTGTTAAATTTAGTTAACAAGAAAACAATCAATTCATATAGTTAAAAGAGAAATTTTTGAGAACATGTCCAAAGACAATTTCAATGCACAGAGGGTCACTTGTACTTGTTAATTTTCTGCCAGTACTTAAATGTGAGTGATATCACTTAAAAGCTGGAATGTGCCTTTTTTTTTAGGACCAATGGGCTTCTCACCCTCTCAAAATAAGTCTTGTTAATGAGTGAAGTAAATAGTTTTATGTAGTCTGTAAAGTCTTATTCTAACACTGTGATAGAAATAGTAGCATATTGTAAACAGCAGATATTTAGAAACAAAATAGGAGGGTGGGAGGAAGTGTTCTATTATTTTGTCCTGTAAGTGGAAGACTAAAATCAAGTCTACTTAAAAAAAGAGAGAGAGAGAGAGGGAGAAAAATCATGACTATCTTGTGTGCGTGAAGAAGAGAATCTTTGTAAAGTAACCTTTATAGGCTTTGGTATAGCTTAGACTAGACTGATTTGATTGTTATGTCTGGGGATTCAGCCTGGGGAAAAAATAGAGAAAATGAAAGCATCCTTATTGATTAATCCATCTCCTTTTGTCTTTTGATTTAGAGGTTCAGTTTCAGAGTCTGCCTGGGATGTACAAAGCATTTCAGAGAAGACTGCCTTGGTGAAGGTGAGCTGTCAGCTGAGAGGTATTTTTGAAATGCACATAGCTGAGAAATGGAACAGACATTGATCTGCACTTAAAGGACATTATGTGCACCGGTTTATAGAGCAAAGAAGTTGGTCTTTTGATCTGATCGGTTTATTACAGTACTATAAGTCACAACAGCGGCAAGGCAAACAATGACAAGAGGCTTATCTGATTTGTAAATTCAAGTATAAATTTAAACTGCAGAAAGCTGACATTATGATGACATATTATTCAGATTACACGAACAATGGGCACATAGCTCATTATCTCAAACACTGGTATGTTAAATACCACTATTAGTTAAAGCTGCATCTCTTGGCATTGTCCTAAGACAATATATTTCTGATTTACTTATTTATATGTTAATTCTTCCATAAAATAAAATAAAAAAAAAGACCTTTGAGTCCTTGAGAAAGTTTGTTGATGGAATGTTATTCTTCAAAAGTCACGACTATCAGTAAGGCTGACAGTTCAGAGATATCATTCATGTGAAGCCCTTCGTTACATGAGAGCCCACAATGTAAATATTAATGTTCTCAATGAAAGTACCTAGAAATTCAGTATTACACGTTATTAGTATAGTTTCAGCTGGTGGTCAGATGTATTGATCCACTGCACCCACAGAACACTTTGCTTCCTCAAGGCAAGCTTGCAGCATGCAGCATGGAATCAGCGTGCCTCTCCTCTCACGGTGCTGCCGGGCAGACACTCTCCGTGAGAAGCAGCTGAGAATACCCACATTCATGTTAAGCATCAGAAACAAAGCAAGGCCCTAGATGAGCAGAATTTTTCCAGGAGAGATCAGACTGCCAGTGCTCAGGGAAATGTGTTAAACAACCTTCAGATAACGCCTTCCACTAGGATTTTTTTTTAAGTCATACAAAACCTAAATCATTCTTTTCTACCTTCTGCCTGAACAGAACAGATAAGCTTTTTGTCTTATAGCACTCAGATACCAAGACATTAAATAGCTCTTAGAAGAGACTCATAATGTGTCAAGGCATTGTAGGATTCTGTTCAGCTGCAAAATTAAAACAGGGAGATAAAGTAAAATACTTGATATGATCAAGTACTAATGTTCACAGTGGCCTTTGCTGAGCATATGTTCATATAGTTAACAACTGTATCATATTGCTCATGCAGAAAAAGGCAGATTCAGTGCTGTGCAGGCATAATAGTAAAATTCAAGAGAAATGAATAGAAAGTTGTTTTCTTTCTTCCACAGGATTGTTCTGTCACATTTGTGTAATACAGCATTCTCTCTCAGCTTCCACTGAAAAATCTTACCCCTATGTTGATTTTTTAAATGTGCAGAAGCTTACTTGTGCATATTGTTTTCCTCTTTTATTCCACTTCTTTCATTCCAAAACCGTAAAGAAAGTAAGAAATAATCAAGGGTCTCTCAGAATGATATTGTAAACATAGATTTTCTTAAAGCATTGTTTTCACCAGAAATTCAAGTATGGATTCCAAATTCTTTAGGGTTTTTTCCCTTACATATCACCCTAAGCCTCTTCTTCCCATATGCCTTCTTATGCTCACTTTGACAACATGTTTTCTTTTTTTCACTTCATCTCTTCTCTTTTCTCTCAGTACTGGCTTTTCTGGAATGGTCTAAGGCTGATTAGGATTGGAACAATAACATGGTATGTATAGTTCTAGGAAAAGCTACTCAGCATAAAACATAAGGGAATGGGCAATACCTGACAATGCATGACTACAATCAATCAAAAAGACTTCATACTGGAAGAAAAGACAATTTTTCTATAACTATCCTGACACAAAATATTAAGAGACGAGCATGTTAGAGGTCTTTAAAACTGCATATACACCTCTGTATCAGCTGTAATTCGCTCAAAATATAAAGCTAGAGATACCAGTTTTGTTCACAAAATGCTGTGTCAATCTCAATTAAATATACAGAAGAGGTCTCTTCAGTGAGGCAGTATTTTTAATAGCTGCATTTTCCAGTATTACTGCACTTAAGAGTTGCTAAAACAGCTACTGTAGGTGTCTAAGTAAAGATTTGAACCCAATTCTTTCTGGACTTCACACTACATATATAAACTACTAATGAAAAAGAGCCCAAATTACAAAGGTCCATATGAGATTCATATCAAGGCCAACATAGGATATTAGCTTCTTTATTTTTTTTTTTTTTTTGCTCTAGGTGACTTGGAGTAGCAGCTGTTTCACATTGGCTGCGTACTACATTGCAGTTACAACTTTTGTTACCTAGAGAAATTGGGATGTCTGCCTTCACTTTCTGTTTCACACAGAGCCTGCATTCAGTGGGACTTCCTCCACAAACACCAGCCCAGACACACCACCCGCATGTAAATGATTAAGCCTAGAAGTGAAAAATTTCATGTTCAATTACCTGTCACATTTTACTGGTAATTCTTTTTCTACCCTCTGGGTCTGATTCGTCTTTCAGTTACACTCATGTAAATAATGAGAAGCTCTACTAAGTTAAAGGAGTTACAATCAGTGAAAAATTGTGGCGAGAATAAAATCAAGCCTCCTTGTTTTGAATTTGGGGATCTCTGAAGGCAATGACCCAGAGAAAGATTGCTTTACACTTCCTTTACTTTAGACTCATTTAATTGATATCATACTATAGAAATGGCTCTCAAAACCTGTCGAACTACACTGTTACTTTATATATGAAATTCTTATTTTTGAGTCCCAAAAAAACCTGATACATTTAAAAGCCTGATCCTTTAACAATTTTCATGAAGCATAAATCACAAATGAATTTTATAAAAAGCTAGTAAATGTAGTAAGTAATAGCACAATCTAAAGAACAGCATCATCAGTTTTAAAATCCCGGTTTTTATTATTCAACTTATCAACTTATGAAGACATACTAGTCTGAGAATAAACTCAATTTGTATAATTATTTAGTACAGTAATGCTATCATCAGATTTTATGTAAAAATACATCATAAATCACTGGAAATGTCAATCTGTGATAGCTAGATAATAATTCTGTGAGATATCAAAAATGCAAATGTCTTTAAGGATTTTATTCAATCACTATTAAAGTAAGAGAGCTAAGCGCTTGCACAGGAACTTCTCTGTTTTGGCAGCAACGAGCATTTTACTGCCCTACAGATGCAAAGAACAACCTGACCGTCTGGAATATTTCCTTGGCCAATGTAAATCAAAGGATCTCCATTGACTTCAAAAGAATGTGTGAATTTACATTACTTGGAGAGATGTCTATTTGTTCATACTTTTAGATTAAATGTCATTACTATTATTAGGAAAAGGTCAAATCAAGTGTCTATGTTACAAAAAAAAATCTAAACAACCGTGCAAGGATAAAACACACGTTAATGAGAAGTGTGCTCCTTACCACTCACAGTTTAACTTTCAGAACTGGGCACCTGAAACATTGATCTTAACAAATGTTACTACTGAGTGCTTCTTCACAGAATAAGACACACATTTTTTTCATTGTAAATATTTTTTCTTATTGTTCTGGTGGTGATTTTAATGCAGCTGCCTTGTCAGCTTTCGTGTTGGGTTTTTTTGTTGTGTGTGGAACCTTTTAAAGCTATTGTGATAAATTTGTATAACCACAGCAGAACTTTATGAAAAAAATATTTACCTAGCAAGTACTGAACAGACTTATAAACAAATTTTGACATCTAGAGTCCACTGTCAGTTCTGAACTCTATCACTTTAAGTGCTAATAAGTTTCATAAATTCTTCCTTGTGCTGTTATCTTAACCACTGCCTGCCCACATTCCTACTGCAACATCCCAGCAGTGAAGGTATTCCAACCACTTAACTTTGCAAATAATTTGAGTCTAAGTAGAAGGCCTTATGATGAAAGAAGAACCTCCAGGGAATTATTCAGAGTATTTAGGTTAGGAATTTAAGCACTGCCCAAATAGTCTTAATCCTTTCCATAATGACCACATTTCTATCATTGGGCAGGAACAAATTTACCTGCGTCAGAACACCACTCAACACTTCCATTGACTTCATTTCCAAATGAGGAGCCACAAAATAGCCCTTTCCCCATTTATATTGCTGTAAAGGACTCTAATCTGGTTAAAGAAGCCTAAGTGTGCACATTCCAACCTTTCATCTGTTCTGGAGAGCTCAGAGCATATAATATTACCTTGAGATATGACAGAGCCAGCAAGTCTTTTTTTTGGTGACTTGGAGACAAGTCTTGAACATGCCTCACAGGAGTACCCACTACCAATAGTCGACTGATTGGGTGTTCAACAGCATAAAGCTGTTGCAGCTAAAATGTTCACATAGCAGAAACTGTGTTATCCAGTACCTATAGAGCATGGATTAGAGTTATTTTTCTGGTCTTCTTACCCTAGCAAGCATAGAGAACTTCCTTCTAAACCTAAACCATTTTAGCAGCATACCAGATTAACTCCCCGCATTTGCTACTCAGAAAATCATGTGAGGGAAGGCTGTTCTAATTACCTCTCACAATAAGCAGCAAAAAAGCTATTACATTTATTTTAGAATTGTAACATACATTCTAATCAAAAGACTTTATCATAGCTGCCTAATTTTTTGCTTGTCAAACTCTGTCTGTTCATCTGACGTGTTCATCTGAACTCATCTCTTCTGTCTGTTGCTTAGGTAAAGAGAGAAACGTCCAGGTGTCAATTGCTTGGCTATCCTGAAGCACCTGCTGTTTCCACATGTCTTCCATGGGGGATTCAGAAATTATTAGGAATGTATCACGTGCTGTCACCAAATCCTGAAAAAGCCAGGTTCTGCCTGACAGCAGGCTTTACTGACATCTCAAGTTTGAAGTGACCTACCATGTAAAGTCATCAACTAATAAAATTTACAGTTATATTTATAAACAATGCAGTGCATAGGATCACGATGTGGTGGTTCCAAGGCACAGTAGCTAAACAGCTTCTAAATGTGCTATGCACAAAGCTTTTATGGGATTCTATCAATGGATGGATAGCTCATGGGATCACCTGCATAAGACATATAAAGTGTCAAAGGACACAGAACAAGTTGCTTAGATGTAAAGACTGATTCCTGCCACCTTCAGTCTATGTTCTCACCTGGTTTCAGTCGGAATTTTGGAAAAGTGGTAACTAAGAGACTCCATTGTGTAGTGCCCATATAAACTACATTCGTTAGCTCATTTCAAATACCAGGCTTTGAACAGAGAGAAGTTGCAGCATGTCAGATTAATCACAGAGGGGCCAATCTGTCAGATTATCTAAAAATAAGATATTATCCCTTTAAACATATACCTATTTTGCCTGCTTTGGGCTGCGGGTGGCTGTGGAGACAACATGAAAATGAGGGAAAAGTGGCAAGAAAAGGTAAAGAGGCCTATTTAACAGAATTTATTACTCTTTTCCTATGAATGTTGCAGGAGGGGAAATGCAAAACATTAATCCTGTTTTACAGCCATATTTAGAGACACTTAGCATGTTCTGGGATTTTGAAGAAAACAAAAGGAAAAAATATATATTTTGATTATGATTACTAACAAAAAAAAAGTTTGTGGGTTTTTTTTTTTTAACCAGATGCATTTTGGTATCTAAGGTATTTATATATATGGCAGACTATCTACAGGGAACCTGTACTGTTCTGGAAGCAAAGTGACAGCCAACTAAAATGGCATTAAACATTTATGCTGAGGTATCTGAATCATTCACTCCCTTCTACATGAAGCGCTTACAATGAAGATATAATTTTGGAGCCAGAATTAGGTAGCCTGAATACTGCACAATGCGATACAAACTACAGATTTTATACACTAGATATTGCATTGAGATTCTAAGCTGTCCTCCGAAAATTCATCACTAGAAAGTGAATTGTTATTTACAGCCAGGAGTCGGAGAAACCATGCAGAATTTTGTTTTGTTTACTCTTTTTCATTAACCGTGTGCAACCAATCATTCAAACAACTTACCCTCCCAGCATAATGCATAACAGTGAAGGTGGAGCCCTGATCCTTTGGGGCAAGGTTACCATTTCCATCTTTTGTGGAGGAATATACTGTATTTGTGTCTGATGTATCCAAGTAAGATTGAATGCGTTTAGAAAGACTCTGTTCTACTGACCAATTAGATTGGCTTTCTTCATCCAGCATTGACAAAAACCCTGACGGTTTCTGAAATGAAAAATAGATTTTTTCTTATTTTATGCAGGAGCAATAGAATTTCAGTTGTTCCTTGTAGAGTAACACAGCTTATAATTTAGTAAACAGAAACGTGTATCACCTCAAAGAAAAGGAAAAAAATGATTAAAATATTCTGGTAAGTGTCCAAGCCTATGCACATCAGATAATTCTGCAAAAAACATAAGAAATTATATTTCAGTTGCCAAAAATGTTAACTATCAATGATCTTTTAGGGAACTGACTGGGTTACTTCCTTCTTAGAAGTTATATTCCAGAAACCAGCTTCAGGCACAAAAGAAACTGTCAGGCTTACTACAGAGACTCGTCAGTCCTACAACTGCATTAAGGACATGGCATGATATACGGATTCTATGCACGAATCAGTACGGGTGAGGAGTTTCTGTTACATCTTCTTCAACCCTGGACTGTTAGAAAGCTGTGTTAGCCCTTGAGCTATAAGGGCAGTTATGACAGACCTCTCTGTGATTTCCTTAGACCCATAACCTTCTCTACCAATTCATAAATCAGAAAATGCAGGCAAAAGTTTGCATTAGTCTAACATGCAGAGACTGTATATAAATATACATGGCGTAAAATGGATCTGAAAACTACCTGAAAGAAAAAATCCAAGGCTGCAGTGTGGTTACCAGGAGAATACACCGTTTCCATAGTAACTCCCTCTTGTACACATTCTGCTTGCTCTTGTAGGAAAAGCACTTCATTGATGTACTGGTGTATCTTCTCATTGGTCATGTTGACACACAGCTATTGTAAAACCAAGAAAAAAAAAAGAGTATTAGAAGTTTACTGCATAATTCATTGGTGTAGGTTTTACTGCACCTCTAATATTGAATTTGATGAAATGTCAATCCACAACATGTCATCTCTCGGTAGACCATAGATTAGCAAGGCCCTAGGGAAATCTACATTTTAACAGCTATTAGTATTAAATTGGGAATAAACAGTTTTCAGCCTGCACAGTTCATTGTGAATTCAACATAAAAATCATCAAATACCAGCACTGTCAAATATAGTGCAGATTTCCACTAATCTCATTGACTGGAGTGGGGCAACTCTACGTACAAATTGGTACACTTAATATTCTTCTGTAGTTTATATTCAGGAAGACTACACAGATGCAATGTGCTTTTAGAAAAAAATAACTACATATTTGGTTAAGATCTCGACTCTGTAGTTAGTTCAACCTTAACAAAGACATTCAAACTCAGCTTCTGCATATAATGTCATCGAAGTCTAAGGTAGTCTCTGAAGAGCTCGTTGTGTTTTGCCCAAATACCTGTTATAAAACACCTAAGGACATTTTACAAGATGCTTCTTTCCATTTTATTGATATTCTAAGGGAAGGTTGGCAAGAAAACAGTCTTAAATAGAAAAGTTCAAAGTTTAGAGGAATGAATAATATAAAAGCCTCACAAATATTTTCTTTGATTGCCTTAAAAAAGGTATAGTGCCACTTTTGCAAAATAAATATTTTTTTCAATTAAAAACAGGTGTGAGTTGTATCAGCTTACATTTGGGGGGACCTTTCATATTTTATTCAAAGCTCACAATCTGAAAAAAAAGTAAATATTTAATAACTTTGTGGAATACATGTTTTAACTGTTTTATCTATATTAAAGTGGAAATCTTAGTGGATAATTCTAAAATCTCCTCCAATGCTGTACTATCACAAAGAAATTAAGAAAATAGAAACTCCTAAAAGGGTGGAAGAACCCTCTATAGGAGGAACAATGCAAGAAATTCTTGCATGCACTCTTCTCAGATTAAACTAGTCACGTATTTGTTTTGGTGATAAACTATATCTCCTGTGAATAAAATGTGTAAAAGCAATTCCACCAGCAAGTCATATTAAAAAATACGAAACACTTAGATGAAAACTACATGGCTTAACAACCAGATGAGGGAAAATAACCCAACTAATGTGTAATAGTTGCCTGAATTTTCCCCTAACACCTCATGCTAGGATAGTCAACTTTTTGCAATTGCTGGACAATGAAATAGACTAGTGTGAATAAGACTAAGAAGAAATAAAACAAAACCCCATTTTATAACCAAATGGCTGTTATCAATTGTCTTTACCAATGCATGATGGTGCAGACAAAAGACAGCCTCAAATAAAACCACTATTTTTTAAAAGTGGGATTTCTAAAGACTCAGATTGTTATCTCATTGTATTAACAATGAAAGTATACAATTGACTTACATTATCTACTTATTGTACGGGAAAAGATGGCTTTTTTAACTTTGTGACAGGCAAAATATGCTTTACTAATCACTTTTCAAATTCTTATTCTAATTACAAAATCTTTTCAGAAGCTTCTTACCATTTTTTTAGAACGTAGACGTAACATTACAAGCTTATACTTCTCAGGATATGTAAAGCCTTAAAAAGATACATGCTGTGTTTATCTTTATTTTCAAAGGACTTATTTAGAGAACCATGTCGTTTAACTTTAGACAGGTATATTTTACCATAAGAAAAGCTGACAAAATCACCATAAACTCAAGCTTACTTTTTATCATGTTCCAATTTCCTAAAATACTTAAAAACAATACATGTACTTGAGGACCTGATTGTGCAGCAAAATTATTAAACTACACAATTCAAGCTGAAGAGAAAGCCTGTCTTAGTCCTATCTTAAAAAGATCTGATAAATAGCATTGGTTTTAACGGCCAAAAGTAAAAGGCACGTTACTTTGTTAAAACATTCATACATAACACAATGGGGCTGGTAAAGAAAAAATGTATAAATATTTATAAATTCTACTGATTAGTATATTATGGCATACACTGGTGTGCTTTTTAGTACTATAAGCAATGCTGTCATTCAGATGGGCAGATTTGCCATAATGAAAATAAGGTTCTGCAACCCAGACCAGAAAGCAAGCTCAAGTGCTTATACAAAGTGCAGGCTGCTCCAGAGCTGCTCTCTCCAGCAGTGGCTGTGAGTAACAGCTCTGCAGAACGAGAGCCAGGACACCAGCCAGGCACTGCTGAAAAGCAAGGCATTCGGATCACATCTTTCTCCGTTTCAGTGTTTTTACACAGCCTGCTGGGAAAAGGTAATAAAATGAAAGTTGCAAATTAAAAGCTTGACACAGGTTGACATAATAATTAAAACAGCTGAGATGTAGAAATCAGGTGAAAATGAACTAAGCTAGCTTTGCTAACCCAACTTCTTTTGCTCCGTGTCGTAAGAAGTATTATATAAAACAATGACATATTTTCTGCCCAAAGATATGAAAAGTTCAGAAAACTACATTTTAAAAACATGTATTTAATTTCGTCCATGAAAACTAGATGGAAATATAGTAGTAATGAAAGAAAACAATGACATTTTTACATAAAACAAATGTGGGATTACCTTTAAGCATTGTGTATTTGCTTTTCCTTGCAGCCTTACTCAACATCACCTATGCTACTTTTTGTCATTCAACATTGTTAAACTGTCCTTTACATGCCTCTTATTGGCTCCATTGTATGTCTCTTCTGTAAGAAATACCCGTTCTATTTGTTTTCCTTTCTAATCTTAACTCAGTCATGTCTCAGTGAAAACAAATACATCCTCTATTTGTCCAAGTCTTCATTAAAAAGTATTTCTAGACTATTATTAGAAGAAAAAAAAATTCTTGTTCAAGTATTTAAACAAACGACTTGCACTGTCATCCAAATTGTAGAATTTAGGAAATAATACAGTGGCATTTGGTAAAAGCAATAAGTATTCATCACATCTGACAGCGTTGGCTTGATCTCTCTTCTTTTGCTACATTTGACCAGCTAGTACTATTAAGTATACTCCAAATTCAAATTTATGTAGAAGACCAAATTTTTACTGTATTCTGAAGACAGAAAAGCACCTATGACTAATGGAATTTTCCTGCTCTTCATTTTATATAAGCAACTATTTGAAAAGGCATAGCCAAAAAGAAGGAATCTGTGAAAAGAGAACTTGGTGACTGTCAATCAGTGAGGGAACGATGGATGTAAACACCCTTTGGAAAGCTCCTTTACATCCTTTGGTCATGCAGAAGGATTAGCTCTCTCAAGCGATGAGTATTCAGAGCATAGAGTAAAGCTACCGCTGTCACACCAATACATCTATCGAGCTGTACGTTATGGGCCAAGATGATGAAGCTACAACGCCAAGTTTAGTTTGCAAGGATGTGCTCTAGCATTTCTCAAAAATGTAATTCTAAGATAGTGGGAGGCAGAATCATCTTCTGTTTACTGAGGTTGGACTCAGAAAATATTTTTAAACCTAAGGTTGAGAATCACTTATTTCTCAGAAGTATCTTGGTCACTGTTCCCCCTTGTATCTGCTACCCAGGTATTTCCACATATTTTTTTTTTTTTAATATACAGTACCAATCAGAATATTTTTAATGAATGTATAACAAAACCAGAACCCATTACATTTCTTCCTTTGCCTTTTAGGTGCAACAGAATCTAATACCAATTTCTTGTTTTCCGTGCAGCTCCAACACAATTCAAACACAGTTCCTTCTGCCTCTCTGTCAGAAGAACTTTACTTCACTGGGAATTCATGTCATCTCTGGGATCAGTTGCCGTTACCTGATCTGTGTTCCTCAAATAAAGTAAGCCAGAACCCAGTGCTATATTAAAATTTTATTATGGGTAGCTGTCACCTGAAAAGTCTTCTTCAAAGGAGGATCTGAAAAGCCCATCCAAAATGGACACAATTTCAATACAAAGTAGTCCTCCATCTGATTTTGTACATATAAAAGTATTAAACAAACATGGTAACAGCATGGTAACAACAGTTTTCCTTGAAAGAATTTGGAATTAAAGATACTGAAATAGTTCCCAAATTATTTTTTCCCTTATACTGCTGGCCAGCAACTAAGTACTGTAGGATAAAAAAGGGTGCTGCTATGGAAAAGTAAGATATCAGTTAATAAATGTCCTTGTGCAGCATTTCACCAATCAATCACAAACTGAATCTAGCTGAGAATGTCAGTTTTAGATAAACGATTTTGGTTTTGGCCACGAAGTGTCTACTGTAAAAGAATAAAGAAAAAACAAACATTTTATTGTCAGGTACGTGATAAGCCAACTTTAAAACTGAGTAACACTGTTTTTCCAGTGGCTTGCTTAAACACTGGACAGACAATAGAGTCTTGCACAAGTGGAAAAAAAATAAATCTGCAGTCTGGAAAAAAGACCAAAGAGACTGAGAGGGGACAGGGGTACACCATGACAAAAGCCATACAGAGTGTAAGATCCACAGGAACTGCGTTGAGGAACAGATTAAAACAAAGAGTCACCAGGCCCCTGAGGGCAGGAATAGGTTTTTACAGCTCTGCTCAGCTTTCCCTGGGACCCCGACCTACACCCTGTCCATGGACCCAGTCCCAGGAGACACCATGGTGGTGCAAGTTTCCAGCCCCATCTCTAGCTGCTCCCGACAGGACCCCAGCCCCAGCTCGCTGCTTGCCATGTCAGGGCTGCCAATGGGAGCTGTTACTGGCCCTGTCTCTGCCCACCATGCTCAAGTCCTGAGGGATGGTGCCCATCAGGGAGGGCATGGCTGGTCGTGGGGTCCTCCTGGTGCCTGGCTCCCTGATGCCAAGGATCGGCTGGCTCTTGCTGCTCTACAAGAAGGATATTAAAACCTTCCTGTGCATGGAGGCTAGCAAAACTCTGACTTTGAAATATCAGGTTTTTTTTCCTTGTTAAAGGCTGAATTAAGATAGTAAAGCATTGTCCCTCATCCTATGGAAAA